ACTTGACTTCACATTCCAGGATGTCTGGATCTAGGTGAGTGATAACACCATCACGATTATCTTGGTCATGAAGATCTTTTTTGTACAGTTCTTCTGTGTATTCTTGCCACCTCTTTTTAGGGCCACCCACAATCCCCCTCGTGCTCTGTAATTCACTAGAATATCTCAGAGGATTCAGAAATGGGCTATGCATACAATTGTAGTTTTAGTATCAAGGAACTCAGGAACACGCAGGAACAGCCAATGAAAATGCACACAGGTCAGAGTCTGGGGGCCCACAAATGCAGTTTTCTTGTCCTGTCCTGGAAGGAAATATTCCTCTCCATGGAATCAGGACGTGTCACCCTCCTGGCACTTCAGTGTGTTCACCAACCAGGAAGCTGCATTCAGCTTCAGGGTTCAAAGTTTCTGTTGGGGTTTCATCACCTAGGCATGACTGATTTAATCATTAGCTACATTGTTGAACTCAGTCTCCAGCAGTCATACACTCCCCTCCCCCGTGTCCCAGGTGGGGCTGGCTCAAAGCCCCAAACCTATAACCATGTGTTTGGTCTTCCTACTGACCAGCGCCCATCCTGAGTCATAAATGCAGGTGTGATCCCAAGGGGCTCACGAATAACAAAGACCCACTGGGAAATTCCAAGGATTTGGAGTATTCCTCCCTCCCAAGAACCTGGGACAAAAACCCATCAAATTCTTTATTAGACAGCATCTTACAGGACTTCCCTGGTGGGCCGGTGGCTCAGAATCCACCTGCCAACGCAGGGGACATGGGTTCTGTTCCTGGTCTGGGAAGATTCCACATGCCAAAGGATAACTAAGCCCACACTCCACCACTGCTGAGTCAGCGTGCTGCAGCTACTGAAACGCACGTGCTCTAGTGCCTGTGCTCTGGGACAGAAGCCACCGCAAATGAAGTCCATGCGCCGAAGCTGGAGAAAGCCCACACACAGCAGCAAAGACCCACTGCAGCCAAAACTAACTAACTTTCAAAAACATCTTACACAATGAGAGAAACGTGACATCATTAAATAATGCCGAAATTCATTTGACAACATAAGTTCTCATTCCAAGATTTAGAAGCATATAAGATAAAAGGGAATCAGTGCTAGAAAAAAACCTGAGAAATGAGCCATTTGCCAACACTAAATAAGCTAGTTCAGTACATTTATAAGTGACCTTTGTTCTAAAAGTTGCTCTTACTTGGAGCTTAGAAACCCATTCTTCTAGAGATGATCTTACCCAATGGTTTTAAAATGTAATAGTAATAATAAACCAAGGATAATAATGACTGGCATTTATTGAGCTGGAAACCTGCTGTATGCTGATGAATTATTCTAGAAAGTATAATGGAAGAAGTTGGGGAACCTTAGTCAGAAACAACATTACATGAGATTGTCTCTTTCAGACACCTCTAGAATCTTAAACATAAATAGTCTTTGCATTCCTGGATAAATATCCTGAAAAAAAAATGGCCACGGCATTGTAGTGAAAGCTAAAAGGAAGAACGTATAGGAAGATGCTTGACATAGTTGTAGCATTGAACTCAATAAATATCAAGATAAAAACTCATCCAAGGCAGAGCTCTGTACTACTGAACTGGACGTAGGACTTGGCATAAAATAAGCATGAAAGTAGAAAAAGTAATGCATTTTGCCCAAGTCCTTAAGGATGGTGAAAATGTAGGGTTGTACTTTAGCATGTGATCAACATATAGGGTAGTTGACCTAGAGGGGTAGGGTGGAGGAGGGGTGGGAGGGAGACTAAACAGGGAGGGAATGTATGTATGCTTATAGCTAATTCACGTTGAACAACAGAAACCAACACAACTTTGTAAAGCACTTATCTTCCAATTAAAAGAGATCTCAGGTAGTAGAGAGGAACAGAAAATGCACAGATATAAACCAGGCAAGTGTGACCTGTTGGATTTTAAGTATAATTTAATGAAGCAAAGTAAACAAAACCTCATTTAAAAAAGCATTACAAACCACAAAAGACTTCAGAATAGTGAGAAAAGAAAAACTAACAGCAGTTTTTTAAAAGTGATTTGCAAAAAAGAAAAGAAAAAGAAAAAAAAGTGATTTACATTGCCTAATATCTATGGGTGATTTAATTTATTCATTGCATAATCATTTCAATGTCCAGTGCCAAGCACTGTGCTGGGCAGAGAATACCAGATGAATCACACACAATTCCTGTGTACGTGGCGTGAACAGCCTAGAATAAAAATATTTGTGGTCACAAACTGGAAGCGCAGTGGAGGCTCTCCTTCGATGTGTGGTTGAATGCATTATGATGTTAAGTCATCTTGCAAGAGGGATGCATGAAATGATGTGATTAACAGATTTATATGAGATATGAAAATGTTCTCTACAGCTTGATGAAAAACAAGTTCACAGAAACGGAGAGATCCTATTGTAATATATAGCTATAAATGGAAAGGCTCTGCTATCGAATAGAGAATTGTTCATTCTTTCTCTTAGAACAAATGTATTGTATAAAATTCTATTTTCATGCTTCCGATGGACAGTGGTGAGCCAGTGGTTATGATATTATGTCCTCTTTCAGTGCCCCCAGGCACCCTGCCTATAAATGAGGAGAAAGCTCTTTCTCAGTTAACATGTAGGCTGGGTTCAAAGATGTGTGCCCCACACCTGCCCTCATGAACAGGGTGATTAGGCATCAACTGAGCTCTTTTCTGAGGCCTTGACTGTTTCTAGACTCGTGCAATAGAGAATAGTCAACCTACTAAAAAGTAGCATTTCTCATTGGAAACGTTGTCCTGGATTTTCTAACCATTATTTATTCTCACTGGCCAGGTTACCCTTTCCCAACTGCTCCTCCTGTGGATCCATTTGCCAAAATCAAAGTGGATGACTGTGGAAAGACTAAGGGCTGCTTTAGGTTGGTAGATCTGTGAGTTGGAGAACTTTAAAGCTAAGACTTTGATTTGCTTCTCAAGGTAGTATTTAAATTGCATGCAGTTCACTCTCACCAGGGGCCCACACCCCTCATAACTTCAGCATGGATGTAACCTGTTTCCAAAGGCCAGCCCAGGTCACAGTCTTAAAGGCCTTGAGCTGTCTCACACCCCTTGGCCCTGGAACTTACTTCTCTGGTTCTTCATTTATGACTGTATGCCACTGACTCGGGTCTAGCCAGTTGGCTGTATGAAGAAGAATTATATGACACAGAATTTGTCTGTGCTCATTCAGCACGGGTGTGGGCAGGACAGGCAATAATATCGGGTTGGCCCAAATGTTCATTTGGGTTTTCCATAGCATCTTATGGAAAAACCACCCAAACGAACAACTGGGCCAACCCATCAGATATGTCTAAGACCCAGTTCCTTTTTAAAACAATGGTCATGACTGTGGATAACTATATGGTCCTAGCTAGTCAGTATGCACTGATTATAGTGTCCAGCTAGTTATTTCAGATCTAGTGCCTGATTATTAGTAGTATTCTATCTAGATGTGATAGACTGGAGCTAGAAAACAGCATTGTGGACAGCGGCCTTCCGTCTAGACAGCTCTGCTTTGTTGGTAAAGCCTCCTTTTCTTTGAGTCCTTTATTTCCAAAAACAAATTGCCCTTGAGTAAAGATTTTGATGGCCATTGCAATGAATGTGGTTTCTTTTTTTTTGGTTCGGGACTCAAAGTCCAAGGACTAAAAACTGAATATAGGGGGTTTGAGTTTTTGGATTGCAGGAGTATTTTGAAGGAATTTTTTTAAATCTAGTGATACTATTATTATTGAGGAAGATAGCCAGCAATGAATAATTATAGTGATTAGGGGATATTTTTGAGAAGAAAAGGAGTTTTCGTGCCCTGCTGGCTTCAGGGAGACTTGCTTTCTGGCCCACTCACTTAGCTTTGCTCACCCCTTTCAGCTTTTTCACTCCAGTTCCTGTGGTCTTGAGCTTACACCCCTTGCCAGCTGCCCTGGGTATCTGCCTGCAAAGCTGCATGTTCCCTGTCTCCCTCCTCCATCAGTACTTAGCAGCCTTGCATCCTGTACCTTTAGATACCTTTTATCTGAGCTTAGATTATCCCACCCATTGCTGTAGTTTTCAGTCATTTCTGAAAGGCAGTATTCCTAAAACTAGGGCTTGCTGACCCTCAAAGGATCCACAAGTTCTCTGTAAGAAAATTTAAATTCATGCTTTCATTTCAGTGATGCTCCTTGAATGGATTAACGAATGCATAATCTGATTATCTGGATAAACATCTTACTTTAGTGTCTGAATTGTATTAGCCCCAAGCAGCTCGATAGAGCAAAGGCAAATTTTTTAAGTAAATGATGCATTCACATCCAGTGAAGATAAATAAATGAGGCATTCGTTTGGTGCCTTGTATGTATAAGGGTTTTGGAGCAGTCCGAACAGATAAAAGTGGAGGACAATGGAGTTGTGTCTAGTAGTAAGATGCAGACTGAAAATAAAGACCCCACAGAGTAAAATCAGACATACCATGGGTGGGTAAGTAGGAAGTCAGTTTCAGCCAATCACATCATTTATCCCCTGAATGCTATGAATTTAAAAGGTCCAGGTTTTGTAGTTTAATCTGTATTCAGTTTGTCCATTTTGGTTAATCGAAAATTTGTAAATGAAAAGAAATGGCAATCTAAATTATGTAAATTACTAACTCAGGACTTTTTTGTTCTCTAAAAGGAGTCAGAAATAATTTGGTTAATAGCGAATATTTGAGAAACTCTAATAAGATGTAGAGAACCCTGGCTAGGACTTGAGGCCCATGCCACAGCTTGATTCACTCTGCAAGTCCCTACTTGTCTCTGGACCTCATTTGTACATAGATAAAGAGGAGCAGATCATCTTCGCAGTCTCTCCTGAATGAAATTGTGATTTTGGGATCCCAGGTAGCAGAGATCTGATTCATATTGCTTAGCATCCTGCCTGACACAGAGATGCTCTCTTAATGTATTTTGATTACGTAGAGGAGGAAGCAATAATACCTGTTTCGGTATATCCTATAGATATGGCAAACCCGGCTGTAATGCAGAGACCTGCGACTACTTCCTTAGCTACCGGATGATAGGGGCTGATGTGGAATTTGAGCTGAGTGCAGACACGGATGGCTGGGTAGCAGTTGGATTCTCTTCAGACAAGAAAATGGTAAGACACAAATCGTGGTGGAAGGTGATTTTTCTCTTCAGTCTGCTGTACCACTTTAGATTTTAGAGAATGAGCGTGGTGATGTTTCCCTAAGCGCCCATGCCACTTTTAAATGGGAGAAGCCAAGTCCTGGTATTTGATTTTCTTTTTCCAAGCAAGTAAGTTGATCACAGCATGAAAGCGATTATACTAGTTATGGCTCTCCGATTACAAGTTTAAAAAAAAAATAATAATTCAAGTTATTTTAAACAGAGAAGGTAGGGTTGGTTATGAGAGTACAGGATATCTCCTGGTACCGGTATTCATTAGTTAATTGCACAGTCATGCTGCAAGAGAGCCCCACCAAACCACATGGCTGATAACAGTCATCATTGATTTGTTGCTCACATGTGTATGGACTGCCTGGGACTCAGTTGCTTTTGGCTCCAGTCCATGGGTTGGATTCAGGTATTGTCTAATCATTCTGGAACCAGTGGCTCCCAAGGCATGTTTTTTTTGTGGCAGAGGCAGAAGCGCAAGTCATCCAAGCTTATTTCAAACCAGTGTTAACATCACATCTGCTGGTAATATTCCATTGCCCTGAGTAAGCCACCCAGCCTAGCCCAGAATGAAAGGGGAGAGAAGTATCCTTCCCAACCAAGAGGCCTTGTGAAGGTGTAGATATATAATATGACAACAGGGGAGTGGAGAATTGGGTCCAGCAATTCAACATTCCACACCATACATTGTCAAGAATGCATCTGGCCCTCAGAAAGTACTGTGGCCGGGAACAGGCAGGAACCCAGGTTGCTGTCCATTCCTTACCTCTGCTTCTCTCTGTCCTGTGCCGCATTCTCACCTCTTTCTTCCAGAACCTCATCATTTCCATGCGTTGTGCCAAGGTGCTTCCAAACAGCCACACTTTTTTAGGCCGTCGAACCTTTGCATGTGCGGCTGCTTTTTGTATAAGATGCTTCTCTTCACCTGGTCTGTTTTGAGGCTCTTAGAATGAGATGAGGGCAGCAGGAGTGGTGGGCAGGGCCCAGGTTTCAGATATGTTTTGAAGGTAATACTGACAGGCTTTTGCCAGTGGATTGGACCTGGGTTATAGGTGGGTCATAAGAAGAGATTCGGGGATCAGGCTATGCAATCAAAATTCCATTGCGTTTGTTTTTGGAGAGGTCGCTAGAAGAATGAGCTTCTCATTCGAGGCTGCAAAACAATGGGTCCACCTGGTAAGATTGCATGGATACTAGTCTACATCACTTATCTCCTACTTCAGGGTCAATGGGAGAAAGAGTGGTTGTGTGCCATCCAACAGGCTGGCTTGCAGTGCAGTTGACCATTTCTTGTCCAGGAATGCATTTGCATCCATGGTGCAGCTGTTACTATTAGGGGGCTCAGAGGAAGGAGGTTGAGTAAGAAGCTTCCACATTTCATGTTGGACATTTTGCTATCTAAAGGCCTTTAAAATCTAGGGTTTTTTTTTCTCTTCCTATTACTCTAAGAAGCACAGATTTAAAAAATTTCAAAACCTGATGCATGGGAAAAGCAACATGGAACCTCTTTGTAATAGTCATTGACTTTTTTTTTGTGGAAATAATGCATTGCTGATTTCTTTATTAGATTTTATTCTTTAGAGAGGTTTAGGTTCACAGCAAAATTGAAGAGAGTACAGAAAATTCCCATATACCCTGTCCCCACACATGCAGAGCCTCTCCCATTATCAGTATTCTCCACAGAGGGGTACATTTCTTATAGCTGATAAACACCTTGAACTTTTTTTTTTAATGCTAATCTGATAGACAAGTTGCAGGAGTAGGACCGTTGTCGTTGTTGTCCAGTCACTCAGTCGTGTCCGACTCTTTGTGACCCTGTGGACTGCCGCACGCCAGTCTTCCCTGTCCTTTGCGACCTCCTGGAGTTTGCTCAAATTCATGTCCATTGTGTCGGTGATGCCATCCAACCATCTCAGCCTCGGTCGCCCCCCTTCTCCTCCTGCCTTCAATCTTTCCCAGCATCAGGGTCTTTTCCAGCGAGTCGGCTCTTCGCATCAGGTGGCCGAAGTATTGGAGCTTCAGCTGCAGTCTTTCCAATGAATATTCAGGACTGATTTCCTTTAGGATGGACTGGTTTGATCTCTTTCCTGTCCAAGGGACTCTCAAGAGTCTTCTCTGGCACCACAGTTTGAAAACATCAGTTCTTCAGTGCTCAACCTTCTTTATGGTCCAACTCTGACATCTGTACATGACCACTGGAAAAACCATAGCTCTGACTAGATGGACCTTTGTTGGCAAGTTAATGTCTCTGCTTTTTAATTCACTGTCTAGGTGTGTCATAGCTTTTCTTCCAAGGAGTGTCTTTTAATTTCATGGCTGCAGTCACCATCTGCAGTGATTTTAGAGCCTAGGAAAATAAAGTCTGTCACTGTTTGCATTTTTTCCCCATCTATTTGCCATCTTCGTTTTTTGAATGTTTAGTTTTAAGCCAGTTTTTTTCACTCTCCTCTTTCACCTTCATCAAGAGGCTTTTTAGTTCCTCTTCACTTTCTGCTGTAAGGATGGTGTCATCTGCATATCTGAGGTTACAGACATTTCTCCTGGAAATCTTGATTCCAGCTTGAGCTTTATCCAACCCAGCATTTTGCACAAACATATAAGTTAAATAAGAAGGGTAACAATATACAGCTTTGACATACTTCTTTCCCAATTTTGAACCAGTTCATTCTTCCATGTCCAATTCTAACTATTGCTTCTTGACCTACACACAGATTTCTCAGGAGGCAGGTAATGTGGTCTGGTATTCCCATCTCTTGAAGAATTTTCCACAGTTTTTTGTGATTCACACAAAGACTTTAGCATAGTCAATGAAGCAAAAGTAGATGTTTTTCTGGAATTCTCTTGCTTTTTCTATGATCCAACAGATGCTGGCAATAGGACCATAAACTCCTATATATATATACATGTTTCACCTGTTGTTCAGCTGCTAAGTTGTGTCCGACTCTTTGGGACACTATGGACTGCAGCATGCCAGGCTTCCCTGTCCTTCGCTATCTCCCAGAGTTTGCTCAAACTCATGTCCATTGAGTTGGTGATGCCATCCAACCATCTCATTCTCTGTCATCCCCTTCTCCTCCTGCCCTCAATCTTTCCCAGCATCAGGGTCTTTTCCAATGAGTCGTCTAATAAACTCCTATATATATGTTTCCCCAAATCATAACTTTTTATTGTGGTAAAGCATATACAACCTAAAACTTACTATTTTAACCATTTTCAAGTATACAGTTCAGTGGCATCAACTGCATTCATGGTGTGGAACCACCACCATCTGGTTCCAGAACGTTTTCATGAGCAGTAACGTTTGCCGCACGTGCTTTATTTCTCTCTGCTGCTGCTGCTGCTGCTGCTCCTCTGACTTCTATTACTTACTATTTTTATTATTTTCTACAAACTTGAGAGGTTAGATTGAAGGTATCATGACCCTTTATCCCTAAATATTTAAGCGGGTATCTCCTAAGATCAAAGATATTCTTTTTCATTATATAATTTATTAAATTCAGGAAATTTAACATAGATACAGTAGTTTTATCAGATACACTGTCCACTATCAAAAGTTGCCCTTTGCCCCAATACTATGCTGTATAGAAAATTTTATTTTATGGTTCAGGGGTCTGTCTAGGAACACCATTATTTGTCATGTGTTGACATGACAATATCTTTAGTCTTCTTCTTGATTTTGAAACAGTTTTTTAGCATTTTCTTTTTTAGTCTTTCATGGTATTGACCCATTTGAAGGTTACAGGCCACTTTTTTGGGTAGAATGACCTTCAATTTGGATTTGTTTGCTCATGATTAGGTTAAGTATCTGTGTTTTCGGCAGGACTACTAGAGAGCTGGTGACGTAATCCTCCCTAAGTGGCACATGAGGAGACACTCAATGTCAGATGTGGTGTGCAAACTCTGGTCACTTGATTAAAGCTTTTTAATGGCATTTAAAACAATTTTGGGGTTGGGACTTCCAATTACAGAGGTCATGGAATGTATATTTTGGAGTGAAATTTCTCTCTAGCTGAAGAGTTTGCCTAAGATGCACCTTTAACTTTTTTTCTCCATCATCTTTTGTGTCAGGGTGGTGACGATGTCATGGCCTGTGTTCACGACGACAATGGGAGGGTCCGCATACAGCACTTCTATAATGTAGGCCAGTGGGCAAAGGAGATTCAGAGAAACCCTGCCAGAGATGAAGAAGGAGTTTTTGAGAACAATCGGGTCACCTGCAGATTTAAACGGCCTGTAAACGTTCCCAGAGATGAAACGATTGTTGATCTGCATTTGAGTTGGTATTACCTGTTTGCTTGGGGTCCAGCCATTCAGGGTAAGCTTACATTTTGGCATCTGGATTAAACACCAGACATTGCTGTGCTTGAGTCATTATTGACTGGGAGTCATTATTTCCAAGAAAGTGATGAGCACTTTGTATAACATAGAAAAAGGAGACAGGATCCTGCCTTCAGAATATAGTAGTGGACTTACTATACACATGAACAAAGAATGGGACAAGCTGTACACATGTATAGTTAAAGCAAGAAGGTTAATAGTTAACTTACAAGTTAACTTAGTTGTTATGTTAAATTAACATAGTTAAATACAAGATAATCTATGACGAGCTATGGCTTGATGAAACAGATCGTGTGTGTCTGCTGTGTATGGTGTATGGACTCTATTTCTCACAATGGTCTCATTCACTTCTCACCATGGCCAGAACTGTAGGAATTATCATCCTCATTTTAGAGAGCTTAAGGAATCTGCTCGGGGGATTCCCATGTGGCACTAGTGGTAAATAATCCACCTGCCAATGCAGGAGACTCAAGAGACTCGTGTTCGATCCCTGCATCGGGAAGATCCCTTGGAGAAGGAAATGGCTACCTACCCCAGTATTCTTGCCTAGAAAATTCCATGGACAGAGGAACCTGGTGGACTATATTTCATGGGGTCACAAAGAGTTGGCTACGACTGAGTGACTGATACTTTCACTTTTTTTTCCCATCCATTGCCTAATATGATCTTTTTCTTTCCTTCAAATTGTTGCCATTGATTGATTGGAAATTTCATGGCTTTCTTTGCCTGTTTCTAGTTGGGAAAACATCTGGCTGCCTTCAGATTTGTGACCCCTTTTCCATTTGCTTATTTCCCAGGTTACTGACAATGAATCTGCAATTATATTTTTGATTACTCTTAGTACCCTGGGAAATAAACTATGTCTTAGGCTGGAGAAATGAACTCATTTTAAATGATGGGGTTTGGAATCTAAAACGCTGAGTCTGAGTGTTGATTCTACCCCTTGATAGCTGTATCTAGCCTTTATCTAAATTCTGAGTTCTAATTTCTTTTTCTCTAAAATGAGGATAATAATGATATTGATTTCATAGCATTATTGTAAGGGTTAAATGAAAACAAGTATTTGAAATTGCTGGCAAGTGCTGTACCTCAGAAGGTCATCTTCTTACACATATGGCATCATGGCCCAGTATTCCAAGCCCTCCCCAACACTGGAGACTTTGCCTGATAAGCACTCTCAGCATCCTGTCATTGTTCTCAATATCTCCAAACAACACGGACGCACGCCTACCTTACAGACAGGCTTGTGCTTTTCTTGTCTCGTGAACACTATTCTGATGCCTCTCTGGTGATCAAACCCTATCCATCCTCTTAAGGTCTCTCAAAGAGGATAAACTGTGAGCCGAGCCTTGAAGGGAGGGTATGGGATTAGATGTCTCTCAAGAAGGGCATGAACTGGAGGTACACGGTTAAGCCTGGGAATTCACGAAGGTGACCAAGGAGTGAGGTTAGGGATGAGAGGAGAGTGGGACCCGTTGAGACAAAAACTCTTTCCAACCTGAGGAGTTTGGTTTGTGTTAACAAGAGCCAGCATGGACACTGGGGTAGGGGCTGGGCATGTCAAATATGGCACAACTTCCCTGGCAGACAGTACCTTCAAAACCCTGCCTTTGAGGCCCGTTTTCCAAGGAGATCTTTGCTCTGAACTCATAGGCCTGTCTCCCTCACCCGAGTTTCATATTGGTTAATCAAAAGGTCAGGCCCTTCCCATCAATTTTAGCTTATGAAGCAGCTTTTACATATAGCCTTTCCCTTTTTCCTCTTCCAGCCAGCTCAAAAAATGCTTTCTGTCCAAAGACTTGTTTGGTATTTTAAGTCTCCTACTTTCGTACCACTCCATTCCACTCTGCCAGACAGACATGCAGACTTATAGACACACAGCACATCCTCTCTGATCTGGCCTGGACAGGCTACCACTTTACATCCAATAGACTTCCATCTGCAAGGGTATCGGTCGGGAGTTGTTAGTGATCCATATATTAATATTAAAAATATTTTTTTAAAAAATAGCAGCTCTTTGAAGATTTGTCTCATTTTTCTGTGGTTTGCATGTATCATTTTAAATCTGTACCTTTTTTCTCTTGCTGCTTCCTTTTTCTTTCTTTCTTCTCAAAGGCTCTATCACCCGACATGATATAGACTCACCACCGACTTCAGAGCGCGTTGTCAGTATTTACAAGTACGAGGACATTTTTATGCCATCGGCTGCCTATCAGACCTTCTCCTCTCCGTTCTGTCTACTTCTAATTGTTGCCCTGACCTTCTACTTATTGATGGGAACCCCTTAACCACAGTGGCAGAGCCAACAGGGTCAGTGCATTAGAAAGGCTTTAGTATATTTTTAAAAAATATTCAGTGTTATTTTAGCTTCTATTATGTAAAAAAACAAAAACAAGCCACAGATGATTCAACTTTTTGGGAAAAAGAGCAAGCTTCTTTTCTAATTGAAGAGTGTTGTTTAATAATGACCCACACTTTTAGAAAGTACTTGAAACTTTTCTAAGCACTCATTTTCAAATATGTTTTCTTACTTGAGCTTTACAACATGTCTGAGTTGGCTTGATGAAAATGATTATTGCTATCATCATTACACTGATTGGAATTTGAGACCCAAGAAGACACTCTTTTTATGATTCTTGTGCCATGTAGCCTTGGCTGCTCGCAGTCGGATAACACATAGCAAAGCAGAGAAAGCCAGGCTTAGAAACTGTGTCTCTAAACAACCTTCACTCTTCCAACTACAGTTCAAGAGAGTTATTTGGAGTAATACTAAAGAGAACTTCGCTGGATGGCCCAATTCACAGTCAGCCTTCTAGACAGAAGAACTTTCAAATTTCCACGGAGCATGAAGGTCTTTAGATATTTACACAGCTCATGAGGAGAATGATGGAGGTAACAGTGATATGAAAATGGTTCAGATTTATTTGAAATATCTTCTCAACTAGTAAGTAGCTAAGGGAACACATTTTTTATTGCTGCTTGGAAAGGTTAGAAACAAAACTGTGACTATTCCTGAAGATGTAAAATTATATTAATGGTAAAAAATATGGGCATTCTTAGAAGTTAGAATTTGGACTCTACTACCAGTATATTTAATAAATTAAGGTATTCATTTGTGGTTACAGCTAATTTTGTTGTCAGAATCAGCATATGTTGAGTACAATTAAATGTATTATAATAGACAAATCATCTTAAATATTCAAGGCATTTTGATAATAAATTAACATTTTTGGAGATTGCGGAAATTTGGAGTAGAAACCTTTTAAAGATGACATTTTTAAAATTAGAAAATGCCCCATCAAGTGAATTTGACTCAAGTCCCAGGCTCCACCTGACTGCAGTGGCCTCATTACGAAGCCCACCACCCCTGGCTGAGGGTGGCCCGTATGTCACCTTCTAAGGTGGTTGTGTAGTGGTTGTGTAGCTGTGAGGACACTGAATGTGCAACACCCACATTGTAAATAAGAAAGCAAGTATTTTTATATTTCACCCCCTCGTGTATAATAGTTCCTCTATAAATAGGTTAAAACTGAATCGAGACTCAAGCTAGTCTCTGTAGCAGGCAGGGAAAGAATAAATTAAGGGATTTTCCCTCTGCTTACTTTCAAGTCAGGCTAATTGTTTCATGAACTGTTTTTCCTTGGATTACCAGTCTTGCATATTTGTGCTTTGAACTTTCAACGATCTCTCATTTCCATTAGTGTAAAATGAGAACCACTTTGATTACCTGCACTGCCATCTTTTGTCACCACCCCTCACCTTGCTGAGTCCCAGCAAGACTGAATTGCTCTCAGTTCTTCAGACCCACTTTCTCGCTTCTCTTGACATTCCCTGTGCCCAGACATTCTCCACTGCCTAGGCGTGCTGAACTCCTATGCATCTTTCAGTTCAAAGCATAAGTGTTTCTTCCTCCAATCCCCTGGACTAAGTGGGTTCAGGCCCCTGCCAAATGCTCTCATCGCACACTCAGCTTCCCCATCATTTTACTCATCACACTTTCCTGTAATTGCTGGCTTGTCCTCCCTGCTAACTCCCTAATGGAGGGACTATAGCTTGTTATTCATCATTATAACAGACGCTCCTGCATAGTAGGTACTCAGCAAACATTTGTTGAAGGAATACATAAATGAAACTACTTCGTGGCAAGTTTGGGTCACAGAGCTTGTATTTCATACATATTGCCAGACTGGCCAACATTTTTATGTTCTTCCTGTGGTCATTCTCTTAGCAAACACTGAGCTTTTGTCTTTTGAAACATAAATAGAAAGATCTTTTGTAACAATGCTGTTTTGCCCTGTAAAACAGAGTTTGACGTTTTTAACAATAATCACTGTTCAGAAATGAGAATTTATAGACCAGGAATGCAAAACCGAATTTCACCATCATCTCAGAGAATCATTAATTTATGGACATACTAAAGTTAAAATTCTGTAGACTCAAATTTCATTAATTCTTACGTAGTATAGGAGCATCAACTTCTATTTTATCTCTGTAGTCCTTTTTCTAACATTGTACTTGTTACAGGGGAGATACCCAACCAGTGTATTTTTGTAAATGCCCAGGTAGAATAATAATATTTGCTAAATTTATTTAGTGCTGTTCTAAGCACATTACATGGATTAACTCATTTAATCCTCACAACAACCAGAGGAAGTAGATTCTGTTATTAGTTCAATTTTACAGATGAAAACACTGAGGCTAGGCATGAATTACCAGTGTTGGCTTCCAAGGTGGCGCTAGTGGTAAAGAACCTGCCAACCAGTGCTGAAGACATGAGAAAGGCAGGTTCAGTCCCTGGGTTAAGGAAGATGCCCTGGAGGAGGGCATGGCAGCCCACCCCAGTATTCTTGCCCGGAGAATCCCCACGGACAGAGGGGCCTGGAGGGCTATAGTCCATAAGGTTGCAAAGAGTCGTATACGACTGAAAAGACTGAACATGTACCAGTGTTGGCAAGGACTTGAGACACCATTTTATCCAATACACTTACTTTAAAAAGGCACATGCACACCCACTCTCCACACCCAAATTAGCCAAGTGCTTTTTTCCCCTGGGTTAGGAAGATCTCCTGGAGAAGGCAATGGCACCCCACTCCAGTATTCTTGCCTGGAAAATCCCATGGATGGAGGCGCCTGGTGGGCTGCAGTCCATGGGGTTGCGAAGAGTCAGACACGACTGAGCGACTTCACTTTCACTTTTTTTCCCCATTAAGCAATTTACAATGAATAGGAGGACTTTTTATAGTTAGATTTAGGGAAAGGGGTACGTTTTACTTTCTTTTTCTTTTCTTAAAACATTTTGAAAAAGAAAAAATAAAACATTTTGATTATTTTGCCATTTTATTGCTTTTTATATTGTTTAAAAATAATACACAGATTGGAAAAGATTAGAATGTATTTGTCTTAAAAGTGACTTACCTAAAACCCAGGTCTTCCAACTTAGAGCCTAGTGCCCTTTTCTTGCTTCACTGTAGTCTCAAAGATGAATTTGCCAACATGATTTCAGACAAAATGCAGAGGCCATATTTAATTATCTTTAGTTGGCTTCTGTCCTTAAGGAAATTGGACAGTTTGGACAACTCAGGGATAGAGTGCATCCCACAGAGTTTTTTTTACTACTATTTCTGTAATTAAGTTTACAGTCTATATTCAGGATTTTGTGCTTAAGAGCTATTACCACAGAGGCTGTCATTCTTAGTTCTGGCCTGAGGGTCAGCAAAGTTTTTCTGTAAAGGTCCAGATGATAAATATTTTAGGCTTTAAAGTCTCTCAGCTGTTCAGCTCTGTCACAGACAATACATAAACCAGTGAGCATGGCAGTGTTCCAGTAAAACTTCACTGACACAAATTCAAATTTTATATAACTTTTACATGTCACCCATATTTTTCTTTAGATTAAAAAAAAAAATTTTAATGTAAGAACCATTTTACCTTGCAGACCATACAAAAATAGGCAGCAGGTTGGCCCGTGGACTGTAGTTTTCCTATTCTTGCTCTCAGCTAAATGAACCAGTTATCATGATCAGTTGCATAGGATACTGCCAGTAATGTAAGTTGTTGCTGGTTCACTGTAAAAATATCAATGTTAGTGAGTAATTTGTAAAATAAATTAGAATTGATGGATTGTTATCTTGATAATGCATTCCCATTAGAACCTGCATTCTAATATATTTTCCAGAGTTGATGTGAGAGAGAGAGCAGTAAGGTCAGAGCTGGGTGAACAGCAGTTTTATTTTATCTAGGTCGAGGCAATTGTGAATGACTTTTACTGTGCCATTGCTCTTCATGGTGGGATTACAGTTGACCCTTAAAGATCACAGGCTTAGGGATACTGATACTGTCCTTTAGTGGAAAATCCACCTGTAATTTAGAGTAAGCCTTCCAAAATATGTAGTTCCCACGTCTGAGGCTCCTCCTGTCTGTAGTCCCACATTCAAGGATGCAACCAGCCTCACTGCGTGTAGCACTGTAATATTTACTATTGAAAAAGATCCATATTTAAGTGGACCTTTTCAAACTAGTTCAAACTTGTGTTGTTCAAGGGTCAGCTGTACAATGTTTCAGACTAATGTATTTTCCTCTAGACAATTTTTAAGTATTACCTAAATCTACTACATTCATGGGATGGGAGTATTTTACACGTGTGACTGTGGCATCACCTCCTGCATCATAATGGAAATATGTTTGAGAACCACACAATAGTCCAAATGCTGAGATGGGAATACTTTACTGTATAGAATTGCTCTGTTCTCTAAACAGAATTGGTTATGTTTAGTGAACAGTTTGATTATTCTCAGTGTGTTTGTATATACATTTGTGCATATGTGATGAGCACTGTGTTTATACATAAATGCCTATATATATATATACCATTTGAAAGTCTTTGTCAGGATTGTTTCTGTTTCTGATCTCTTAAATACTTTAAAACTCAAGAGGTAAAACATTGTGTGTATTATAGGCAAAACTACCCTTGAGTTTATGGTAGTTTAGTTTGTAGAAAGGATTCCTGGGTCCTTTATTAAACTTCGCCTCCTCCACTCAACATGCTATGACTTGTTAAGAATGTATAAAGTATCATTGTTGAGTTTGACTTTTCTATACGGTTAGTTAAGAAACTAAGACTACTGTGAACTGAGTAAATGGCATGTTGATGCAACCTATCCATGTTTTATATTTAATTAGATTCCTTATTCATTTAATCAATTATTTAGTTTCAAGTTATACTTGGTTGTTTTTATATTTAAGAGATAAGTAAACATTCTTTTTCATGAAAATAGTGGCTATTAATGTGATTTTAAATATGATTAAAGATTTAAGTGATTCATCGAGCTCTTTGGGATTTTTCACTTCAACTATGCTGATATTCCATTAATGTTTTCTGTTTCCCCTGGATATTGGCCATTAGGCAAATAGCTATTCCATTCCATTCTTCTGGAGAGTGATCAATTCTGTAGGATTATGGGGTGCTGTGGTGGTGGTGGTGGCATTCACCCAGATCAGTAAAGCCGTTATCTTTTCATCAGATAGAATGTCCTGACCACCTGGCAGTGTAAATGCAACTTCTCCACATGCCTTATTCCCCCAGATGCGCTGATATGCTGGAACAATCTGGCTCCAGAAGTGTTAATAATACTTTTTTGAGACTTGTCTATCAAATACTATTTTGTAAGAACTATGCCTTTAAATAGACATTGATGGGTTATATTTGTTTTATAATAATTGTGTACCTAATGTTCACTTGTGATTGATTTTGAGATTTCTGTATATTTATAAGCCTGTCCTATGTGAATTTTTACTCTATGATGTGCGGTACCTTACTAATAAAGACATGGATTTCTATTTATGTAAAGTAATTGTAGCAATATTCCTAGATGCTTCCTAAGTGATTGTTCTGCCCATCTGACATTACAAATACTCCAATCTTTAGAGGATTATGTTAGAGTTAGAATATTTTAACTAGATTTAAACTTTAAAATATAGATTCTCAACATGGTTTGAAATTCTTCAGTTGATGTCATTAAAGTTTGTAATTCTTTACTG